ATCTTTATCTTTTTTTTTTACATTGTTGATTAAAAGTCTATTTTATCTGCTAAGAGAATATCATGGAATATTTTTTCTACCCCTTTACCATATGAAAATCTTTGTGAGTTAAATGGGTTTCTTGGACACAGCAAATATTTGGGTTGTATTTTTTAATCCATTCAACCAATCTACATCTTTTGTGAGGGGCGGGGTACATTAAGACCATTCACATTCAATGTTATTATTGCTATGTGAGATACTATTGTGGTCATCATTTTATTACCTAGTTGCTTTGTTCTCTCTCTTGTGTTACTGTTTTATAAGAGCTGCGAGTTTTAACTTTTCGATGTTTTTACACTGGTGGATATCAATTACTCTGTTCCAAGTATAGAATACTTTTAAGCATTTCTTGTAGGACAGGTCTAGTGGTGACAAATTCCCTTAGTGTTTGCTTGTCTGGGAAAGACTATTTCTCCTTCATTTATGAAATTTAGTTTTTGCAGGATACAAAATTCTTGGCTGGCAGTTATTTTGTTTCTGGCTTGTAAGGTTTCTGTTGAGAAGTCTGCAATTAGTCTGTTGGATTTTCCTTTGTAAGTTACTTGATATTTTCACCTCATGGCTCACAGGAGTTTCTCCTTCACTTTGACTTTGGCCAATCTGATGACTATATGTCTTGGTGATACCTTTTTTTTTTTTTTATTTCAGGGTAATGTGAGGGTACAAACATTATGGTTACGCTTTATGTCTTTGCCTCATCCAAGTGAGGGTTAAAGGCATGCCCTTCCCCCCTACAATACTCCCCTGATCACATGGCAGCAATACTGTCCAGGGATTAGGGGGATTTTGGGGGGGGGGTGGTAAATCTGCAACTAAAGGGGATACCCTTTTTTTTCGGAGGGAATACCCTTTTTGCAATGAATCTCATAGGTGTTTGTTGAGCTTCTTGTATCTGGATCTTTAAATCTCTAGCAAGACCAGGGAAGTTTTCCTTGATTATTCCCCCAAGTAGGTTTTCCAGGCCTTTTGCTTTTTCTTCTTTTACCCTCAGGGATGCCTATGATTCTTATATTTGGCTGTTTTACATAATCCCATATTTCTTATAGACTTCATTCGTTCCTCTTGATTCTTTGTTCTTTATTTTTGACTGGCTTAATTCTAAAGAGTTGTCTTCAGGCTCTGAAATTCTTTCTTCTGCTTGGTCTAGTCTATTCTTAAAACTTTCCACTGTGTTTTGTATTTCCCTAAATGAATTTTTCATTTCCAGAAGTTCTATTTTTTTTTTTAAATATGTATCTCTTTAGTACATTTTTCATTCATTTCCTGAATTACTTTTCTGGTTTCTTTGGGTTGATTTTCCATTTTCTCTAGGATCTCATTGAGCTTTCTTACAATCTATATTTGGAATTCTTTATCTGTCATTTTAGTATTTACATTTTGGTTGGGATCCATTGCTAGAGAGTTGGTGTGCTCCTTTGGGGTATCCTTTTACTCTGATTTTTCATACTTCTGGAGTTATTGCACTGATTCCTTCTCAGCTGGAGCAGCTGTCACTTCTTGTTTTTGGATTTTCTTTTATTTAGGTCAGATTTTTTTTCCCCCTCACTCTTAAGGGTGTGCCTATAGCACATGTTGGATAAGGACCTTTGGCTTTGCTTGTGGGTATTTCAAGGGGGGTCTACGTGGATACCTTGGTTATAGATAGCCTTAGCGTGGTGGTTTTCTCAATTGCTAGTAATTTGTAGGCTGTAGCAGTGGTGTGCTATGCGCATGGGCAGATTCCCTGTCTCTTGTCAACAAGGGGAGATGGAGGTCTTTGAAATCCTTTCTCTTTCCCTAGACCTGTGTTCTTCTTAACAGTATGAATTATGTTGGGATGCCCAGTTTAATCTCTGAGACAGCAGGTGGTGCTTGTGGGTAAGAGTCAGCCACGCCCTATATGATGGAGTCAGTAAATGCTCTAATAGGCGCTTGCAGGAAAGAGCCAGCCACAGCAGTGTTTTTTGCAACCTGTGACCAGCTTTATTCGATCAAGAGAAGCACTCAGATGCCCCAGGTGGTGGGCAGGCCGCTGGGGAAAGCCACCAGGGAGGGGCTAAAATGACCCCACTAAGCCAGAAAAGTCTGCTCATGGGAGAGAGAGACGCGCACACACACACTCGCACAGAGGAGAGGAGATCACACCCCTCCCCCTCTCCCCGCCCCACACAGATCCCCCCACAGGCTCGCCACAAAAACAAAAACAAAAAACAGCAGAGCACAACAACAGCCACAACACACGCGGAGAGCCCCCCCCCACAACACCCGCCCACACACAAAAAGCGCCGCTCCCCTGAGAGAAGAGGAGTGCTCTGCAAGTGCACCGCAGCTCAGACCCACACTGTACTCTCCTTTTAGTTCTGCCCACGTGGGCTCCCTTACTTCCTGAGAACAGTTCACAAATCTCCTCTCTATGCCCCCAAGCAACATGATTGAGTCCTAGGGATACGGGATCCAGCCTGTGGGCCTGTCCTCTGATCCCTCAAATTTAATCCCTGACCATGCCAGGGAGAAGCATGCTGGTCCCAAGTTGCCCATGGAATGCTCAAGCAAGCTTAGTGTCCCTCTGCTTCGAGATATGCCCTGCTCTGCTGGAGCAGCCAAGCAGGCAGCAACGGGGAGGGCTTGCAGGCGGGGAGCTCACAGTCCAAGCACTCCTTGGTCCACTGCAGGTCTTCAAGAGGAAAGGAGTGAGCCCCACTCTCTGTGGAAGCCTCAATGTGGTGGATAAGCCAACAGAGGGGAAGCAGCCACTCCTGAGAGTGCTGGCTCAGTAGTTCCTTGGGGCACCCATGCCGACTCATGTGGGAACTTACGCTGTGCATGAGGGAAGGCCAGAGCAGGAGAAGAGTCTGAATAGAGGAGAAGTGGCATTGTGGTCCTCTTTGTCTCGAGGGGCTCCCTTGGCTTGCTGTACTCTCCTCTCCCCTGACGGCAGCCCACCCTAAATGTCCAAGCTCTAGGGTCACACAGTTCCCCTGCAACCCACTGGCCCCCTGTGGCCACTGCAATCTGAGCGGGAGTTGGGAAATGTTTGTGTAGGGAGTCGGGGCCAGCAACAAGAAAACTGAAGGGCTGAGGCTCCCTGGGGAGGACAAAGGTGCACAGTGGGTCAAAAAGCAGTAGGGCATCTGCTGTCTTGGCTTGGGTCTAGGGTGACAGGAAGCGACTCCAAGAGGGCCGGCAGCCCAGTGCTCTGTTCTCAGGAATTTCCCAGTTCGCTGGCAGCAGCAGCTTCTGGGCTTATGAGGATAGAGCAGCTCTCCAACAGTTCAGGAGCCTGCAGTCTGCCAGAGGTGTGAGGGAAGGAAAAACAAACACCCCCACCTACCCTTTCCGTGGGCGCCAAATTCCCTGGGGGTTGATCTCTGCTGAACCCGTGCTCCTTCTTGTTCTGCTCCACAACTTCTTCCCGTGGAATCTCTGATAGGTTCTGGCACTTTTCCCTCAAAATTACACCTGGCTATGTTTTTTTTAACCTAAAATTTTTCCTTCTTTCTGAGACAATCTGGTGACCATTGTCTTTAGTCCGCCATCTTGCCTCCAAGCCTACGATATATCAAATCTGTTCATTTTTAAGAGGTTTCATTTGAATGGCTGGTGAAGGTGTTCAGTAGAGACCTCTAGGAGACAACTGGAGAGGAATCTGGGCTCTCAAGTCACATTTGCCTCTTGGGCATGGACGAATTGAGGAGTTTTACTTTTTAGTATCTATCCTTATTCTTTTTTATTAGAAAGCCTTTTCATTGTGATTCTTTTATCCCTTCTGTCAGCTTTCGGTGCCTGAAACCCTATCCTGCCCTGCTACAGAGGGGACATAGGTTCACTGTGGGACATTGCTTTATTCCCGTAAACAGGTTCTGTCCCAAGCCTTCAAAACTTTGACTTAAGTTTAAGATAGCTTTATGTGCAAAACTGTCTGACCATGCAGACCCACTGCTAACTGTTTTATTAAGAAAAGAAAACCCAGCCTTCTCTAGGGGACAGCAGTTGTTAGCACAGAGTGCAGTGGACTTAGAATCAAGAGACCCGGCTTATTGTGACCTTGAACAAATGACTTAGATTTCACTTCCTCAGCTATAAAATAGAAATGACCTGCCCTGCTACAAGAGTCAAGTGATTTGTGCCAGCTTTAGCTTCTGAAATAAAATATCATTGTCATTAAGGTTTAGTTTATACTTAGTCACAATTGTCAGCATCACTTACTGATATGTCCCTGTGGTTGCCTGTTGCCTGCTAGAATAGAGGAGGTAGAGGAGAAAAATATGTCTGTCCTGACCACAAAACTCTGGTTTCTGCCTTGACCTCCAGTTGGCAGGATGAGGGATACATAACTTTAGAAATAGATATATTAGGTACCCATGTGAAGCACATTTCTACTCTGGTATTATATAAATTCAGTAATTCTAATTAAATCCGGCAACTGCAGTGCTAGCTGTTTTTTCATGGAGCTTTTAAATGATGGTGCTACTATCAACCCAAATTATGAATATTAAATAGCTAAGCCTAAACATTCATTCCAGAGTTTGTGTAATAAAATTGGAAAACAAAAGATGTATCAATCCCACTGTGGTCATATACTCTGGGAGGATTAGTAGGAGAAACTGGAATTAATTGCTATGTTAATATCACTTGGGTTCAATTATCTTCTGCTCTGCCATCCTAGGAAACTGCATAAGCAATTCAGCCAGTTGAATTCTGGCAGGTTTTAGAAGCATACGTATTTCTCTATCTTTTTTTTTGCTCTCCTCCTGTTATTTTTTTTTACATCCCCGCCCCCTTCAAGGCGATTTTCCAGCTGTTCCCCTAGGGAGTAGTTTTATGGGGAAGTTTCTTTTGTAGGCTTCCAACTGGCTTCATTTTCACTATCTCCATGAAGTCGCCTCCTTTGTCACATTTATATGATATTATCCATCATGCATTGCCTTGGGATTTTCCCTTCTAATTGTTGACTTCTTGTTTTTGGTTTGCACATACAGGCTGTCTCCTGGTTCGGACATCTACGTGACAGTTTCATCCATGGCTTTAGCGAGATCCCAGTGTCGTAACTCCCCCAGCAATCTTTCTTCATCCAGTGATACTGGCTCTGGGGGGGGCACCTACAGGCAGAAGTCCATGCCCGAAGGGTAGGTATACATTTGTCCTTTTGTACATGGTCACTGTTGACCCCACTGTCTTTCGTCTGTACTCAGACATGTAAGGTGATTTTCATTCAGCCAGCCTCAATCAATTTCCAGACAAAGAGGAAAATGTAGGTAATATTCTAGATAGAGAAACGTTTTAACAATTGGTTCAAACTACTATGTAGGAAGTTTACTATTCTCTAGTCTCTATGAAAAACTCAATGGCAGAGAAATCAAATTGCATTGGTTTCTCCATTATATATATTGTTTAGTTTCACAGTTCACTTCTTAATATTTCCTCCAAAGTGAACTCAGCAGAATACTATTTGCACTGGAGTTTGTATTGCTGTTAACATAGGGGAAATGATAATCACATCTAAAGCGTAAAATTATTTGTCTCACACTTTAAGTCTCTTATAGGTTTGTTTTTTTAAAAATCTTTCGTGAAACACTAACTGCTCAAAAGTAACTATTTGCTTCCAAAAAGACTTACACGATAAAAAGCTAAATATACATGATTTTAGAAGCCATTAAAACGGGGAAAAAATGCAGTGTCCGAAGCTGGGAAGTAATTAGCAGCAAAACATTACATGGCACACACAAGCCACCTTTGCCCAGGGGAAGAGTAAAATGACCATCCAAGACTTCCTGCTGGGAGTTCTCTCTCTCAGGAACTTGAACCATTTGAAAATCAAGTGGGAGGGGTTTATAAAAACTGCTGTTTCTATTCTACGTTTTCCCCCAAACGTATTTTAACAAATGGACACGTGATTTGGTTACTTTCTTGAGATTTCGCCGTGTCACAAAAGAAGCATGCTCACTAATAATACCCTTATAATGGGTATTTTTTATTCATAGCCATTAAGTATAGTTTGTTGTATCTAAATGTTGCTAAATGTTTACGTTAACAGAAAGTAGGTAATAAAGCCATTATAAAATATGCTTCTCACTATAAAATATGCTTTCCCCACCCTGCTCTCTCCCCGAGGACTCTCTCAGTTGTGCAGGGGCCAAGGGAAAGCTTCCCTTCTGTCCTCTGGACGGTTGCTGAGAATGAACTGACAATAGACAGATTAATGGAAGAAAAGGCACACGGATTTATTTAACACGCATAGCACGAGGGAACTGCAGGAGAATCATTGCCCGATAACCCAATGGCATACAGATGCTGATACAATATACCCTTCTTCATAGAGGAAGGGGAGATGGGGGGGTGTTGGAGTAAATGGTTTTCAGTGGAAATGAATGAGCCCAAAGAACAGTGGCCTGGGACAGGGTTCCTCTGAGCTCTGGGGATGCTGGTGGGAAGGTGAGGGGCAGAACTTCACTGCGAGCAGAGGTGGTCTTCTCATGTAGATAAGGTCCCCCAGGCAATCTCTCAGAGCTGCCCTCAGAACAGAAGAGAAGTCTAAGCGTGATGGAGAGTCCCAGTCTCCACTCTTCTCCAATAATCTTTCCTGGTTATTTGATGAGATTCCTAGGGAGCAGGTCTCAAGGCTATTGCATTTTTTTCAAAAGATGTTTTCTTAGTCAGATACGGAAATTTCAGAGTCCCCCCTGGTGCTTTGGTGCTTCTAGAAAGAGGAGCAGAGGGACAGGGAGTCAGGGGATGGTCCAGGGGACCTGGAAGCTGCGTCTTCAGTGCAACATGTCAAAGCACCATGCTTTGGGCCCCAGCAGTAGCCTGTCTAAAATGCACATTTCTTACTTCAAGCATGAAAGTGAGAATTAGAAAAAAAAATTTTAGCTCTTATTCATGAGTCCCTGCAAGAGGTTTACAAATTACATGTTTTTGTACCATACCACAAGCCCAACTAATTGTGTCATGATTTAATTAGTAGATCTTAAATGGCCTGTTCAACTTCAACACTAAGAATTCACTGAGATGTGAGTGTTAGTCTAGCAATAAAATATAGATTAGCCAAAAAAAAAAAAAAACCACATTGTTTTCTTCTGTCTGTGATATACTTTAAATGTATACTAGAAAATTAAGTTGAAACATTAATGTTTTGGTGAGTATTAATGTTAAAAACATGATTCCAGTGCCCATGCTACCCAGTCTTTGTTAATAAGACGGTGATTATTCAACTTGATTTTTACTAACTGAGCCTACCATAGGTGATATTGAGGGTTTGCCCCAGTTGCTTGTGAGGTCATGCAGGCTTATTTACTGTACTGTGTATCTTCTTTTTCACCTGGGGTGATCTCTTACAAGACGGTGATGATACAGTGTTTTTCCCCTAGATCCCAAGTAGTTTTTGTTTATATCAGTGGTGCAAGGGACAGTGGTTCACTGCGTTGCTCACAGGCTGGGTTTGATCCTAGAGATACGCTTACCAAGGGAAAAAACGCTTATCTCTACAGCTGACCCCAATAAAAACAGATGTGCAAGTTGACAGGGAAGCCGGAATGCATGCGGTCTGCTGCGAAGTCGTTAATGTTAACTTTAGAAAGCTCAAGAGCGTGACATCGAGGCTAGGTCAGTACACAGTGATTGTCCATAAATGTGATATGCTACTGTGGTGTCCTCCCTCGACTTTGGCAGACCACTCGGCACCCGCCCCTGTATAACGCCATGTGACACGTGCCTGCCCGCTCCCTGGGGCGAGGACTTTGAGACCATCCGAATTAGATGAGAGGCGAAATCCAACAGGGCAGTTAGGAATGCCTGCTCTACCTGAATGTGGGGCACGGGCACCTGCACAAGTTCAGGATGGGAATGATGGGTAGTTAAAGAGCAACGCTGTTTAGAAGACACAGGGCTCATTCTCCCCTTCTTGGAGATTTATTTTTGGGCCACACGCTTTGATGCATACCGACAAGGCAGGACCTGTCCGAAGGGAGGTCTAGGTGAGTGAGGAGTTCGGGGGCCATGTGTGAGAAACGTGACGGAGGATGTGCAAGCTGAGGTGAGGAGGCCACGAGAGCTTTCTCCCGGCACTCCTAGAGGGATCCAGCTTGTCTGTGGGGGCAACCGGGGCCAGTCAGTGAAAGTTACAGAGAAGAAGATTCCAGCCCGTTGTGAGGAGGATATTTCAAAGCTGTCAGCCCACCCTGGAAAGGAATGGGCTGCCTTAGGAAGCAGAGTCCTGGTCACTGATCATGTTTCATTTGTCAGCCTAATGGTTAATTTAAAATTCACCAAATGGTGAATTTAAAATTCAAACCTGTGACTCTTCAACTATTAAATGCTTCTCCAAACAAAGGCACAATTAAGCTCTCCAAAAAGAGGCACCATGTAAAATTTAGAACACGTTTTATCTGAGCTCCTCAAGGACTGTACCTTTGTATCCCTGATAGCGTAGCACACAATAAATGGGGGGGAGGAGGGGTTGCAGTATATTTGAGAAGTGAAATTAAAAGTTCACTTGGTGAAATGTTTTTCAAGGCTGAGTTTAAAGATAATCTTCCCTGTTGTTCATTTAAAATCAGATAGTCAGAAAAAGATATTTAAATTTAGAAGTTTAAAAATTTCTGTTTAGTTTCCACTGCTACCAAAGAAGTAAAAACTAGCAGGGCACAGTGGCATGTGCCTATAGTCTCAGCTATTCAGGAGGCTGAGGCAAGAGGATCACTTGAAGCCATTCGTTTGAGTCCAGCCTGGGCAACATAACAAGATCCCATCTCTACAAAAGAAACAAAAAATTAGCCAGGCATGGTGGTGCACTCCTGTAGTCCTAGCTACTCAGGAGGCTGAGGCAGGAAGATTGTTTGAGCCCAGGAGTTTAAGGTTGCAGTGAGCTATGATTGGGCCACTGCACTCCAGCATGAGTGACAGAGTGAGACCCTGTCTTAAAAAAAATAAAACATTTTGGCCAGGAGTGGTGGCTCATTCCTATAATTGCAGCACTTTGGAAGTCCAAGGTGGGAGGATCACTTGAGGCCAGGAGTTCAAGAACAGCCTGGGCAACATAATGAGACCCCCTGTCTCTACAAGAAATAAAAAAAAAAATAGCTGGGTGTGGTGGCACATGCCTATTGTCCCAGCTACTGGGGAGGATGAGGCAAGAGGATCCCTTGAGCCCAGGAGTTCAAGGCTGCAGTGAGCTATGATTGCACCACTGCACTCTAGCATGGGCCATAGAGCGAGACCCTGTATCTAAAAGAATAATAATAAAATAAATATTTTTATAGCCTTTTCTACTTTGCAGATGCTTTGTATAGATCCTTAGATCCGTGTAATGGAATTGCTGATTTACACATAAAGAAATAGAGACAAAAATTCAGTGACTTTTTTCAGCCACGCTAGGTGGTGGAGTTAGAACTTAGCCCCATGTATTCCTGCTGCTTATCTCCTGCCTTCCCAACAAACCACTTGCTGGGTCTGCGCGTGCATTTATCAGGCTATAGCACGTACAGTACCCATCACATACATAGACTGGTTCAGGCCCTATTTAGTCCTTCATTGTATAGATTATTCATAAGTTCACTAGCAACCACACATAAGTTAATGAATTCACACATGAATGTTTGAATTTTACACTCTGACACTTTTTCATGGGCTCAGTCAATATTTGCTTTGCTGATATTGCTAATCAAAGCATGTGCCTCAATTAAGCATATATTATAAGTCTCCAGAAGGAAAAATAAAACAGGCTCACTAAATAGCTAAATGTTCCTTCCAGAAGTAGACCTTTGTTTTTATTTATACCGGTTTACCTACTTCCAAATTGCCCTTCCCAAAGGCAATTTAAAACTTACACATTTTGAAAGTGGTTTCTACATAATATAAATGATAGTAATCTTTGTCTTTCGGACCACAGAGCAAGTGCTCAGAAGATACTTGTTCCAAGAATGAATGACTTAATGATTTAGTAAATTACTGAGTTAAGAGAAACAGACCCCAAAAATGTACCATTGGGAAAATATATATGGAACATTTCAATTGTGAATTTTTTCTTTGGCCATGAGTGACAGTCTGAGGTTGGCTACACAAGGGCTAGAAGATTTTGGTTTCTTGCTGTTTATAGCTTAGGTTAGCTCAGTCCTAATGGGCCTTGCCCTTGTTAGCAGTTAATGTACACAGCACGCATACCTTTCTGAGCCGAGTGGTGTGTCTTGACCACATCATACACATTTCCACCCCCACGTAAACACACACAAGGATGAGCGTACAAGTACAGACACGTAAGCAAGAACCGGTAATACCTGTCAATTAGAATTTAGCTCATCACACCCAGGACTGCCTTCCTCTCGTGGGCGAGGTTCCTGATGTTGTCTTTGTCTTTGTTTGGGGAAATTCCCACAGGTTTGGAGTGAGCCGCAGATCCCCAGCCTCCATTGACAGGCAGAGCACCCAGGCAGACATCGGAGGCAGTGGAAAATCCACACCCAGCTGGCAAAGAAGCGAGGATAGCATTGCCGACCAGATGGGTAAGTAAGTAATTTCTACAAAAAGCAAGTTGCTTTTACAAGGTGACTCCAGCCACCTCTTGATGATGTTATCAAAGCATTCTGTTGTAAAGACAGCCCTAGTTAATAACTATGACTTAAGTCTCTGTTAGATTATGTACAAGTGAAAGAAAGAAATAAGAACTCAGAGAAAAGTCAAGGAATTCTCAGTGACCCCAAATTTAAAAATAGAAAGGGCATAGAAATTATTTTCAGCACCAAGATTAAAAGAACAGACTGCCTTGTGTCCTAAGTACATCCCCACCCCTTGTTTATTTGTTTTTACCTACTATAAATGCCTTGAGTGACTCCTTGTTATTTTTAATGTTGCATTAAAAAAAATGTATACATACAGAGCAGGAAAGAAATACAGTTATTGTTTAGTGGCCTCTAGAGCTTGGTTAGAATCTCTTTCCTCCCTGGTGTGCTTTTTTAAAAATTCTTTTCACTCTGCTATTAAGCTGTCAGCTAAGGAAATGTCTTAGCTGTATAAAACAGCTGGATAGGAAAGATTTGCATTAGGGAGCTCTCATTTGGATTTCTGGTGCATGGCCCTTTCTCTCTCTCTAAATATATATATGCTGTTGTTCCACAATGACACCACAACGCTAGTGGATACAATAAAATTTTGCCATGAAACAAGATTAAGTTTCAGTACCTTGGCATCAGGGATTTGGTATCAACACAGTTGATACATCAAGGACTTGAATCTAGACTGTTAGTTTTTTTTTTTTTTTTTTTCCTTTATTTTATCTTTAGTAGCATTACCATCAGTGTGGGATAAAAAGGTATAAATTTTAGGGCTGGAAAGGATAAACTTTTAAGGCAAAGATCCATCTTTTTATCTTCTCTGCAAATTCATTGTTTTGTCTTGTTTTAATGACTGTGCCCTAGTAAATGTACTAGCCATGAACACAGAAGGGAGTGGAGATGTATTTAGCTAAGACAGGAGTTGAGGAAGACAAATGCAATTCTTAGGTTCTGCAGATACGCTTTGCTCCAGTAACTGCACTGAGATGGGCCTTGTTATTGGAGCCATCTGTCATTCCCCACTCTGATGCCACCCACCCCCAACACAGAAAACCTGAGCATATTCTGATCCGCTTTTCTGCTCTTGACAGAATGTTTTTAATCCCATATGTTTCGATACTGTTGAGATGGTAACGACACATGTGAAAAGGATCCCTTCTTCAGCATGACTTTAGTGGCTTTTTTGGGCCCCTAGTGCAGGCCTTGAGCAAGGCTGCCAGCAAGCCCTTTGTACAGCGCACTGCTTCCCACTCACGGGAAGTCACGGGGAGTGAGCAGGTACCCTGAGACTGGAAGGGGTAATTATAAGGTTCTTCCTAGACCCATATTCATCCTCTCACACACACCTCCTCTAGGCTTTTTTTCCTTGCATCCACTTTAGTTTAGTGGCATCCCACTCTTAATAGATAAGACTGTAAAATGAATATGGATGAATCTTTTTAATACATTTGTTCATCCTCTTAGTAAGGTATACTTTTTTTTTTTTAATTAAGGTACCCCTAGAGCCTGCCAGAGAAGCCTTTTCCACCACAGTACAGGAGGTCCAAGTGGTGTCTTTCTCTAAAGCTTCAAATAAAATACCAAAATAATTCTTTTTATCATTCTTGATATCCCAGCATTCCAGGAGAAATAACCCAGCCTTTCTTAATTGCACATCAGAGGGAATCAGAAGGCTTAGTTGGTCTAAGCTGTTGTAGGAAGAATTCAAGAACAATAATTACTGCATTTTCGTTTCTCAGTACCCACCATTGAGTGTATAAAGGACTGACCTTTCTACACGCAGTTCATAAGAACAACATTCTCTAATGGCTTGCAGCGATTAGGAATGTTGAAGAGATTGTTATTTGTTAGGTAGACCCACCTGTCTTTGTGTATCAGTGTGTTATCAACTGGTACCCTGTGGACAGTGGGGATGGGACTTGAGCTTGCTGAACTGGCCCACACATCCCCCTGGATGTTTGCTTTTCTGCCTCTGTGCTCTTGGAAATGGTTGGGAGTCAGAGTCAAGGAGTGTGTTGCCCAGTCCTCTACACGTTAGGAAGGGTGTGGCAGAAGTCCGGAATTCTTGCTGTTAGCTATACTTGTGTTAAAGAGGATCCTTTATCTCTCACTTTTGGAACCCCATCTTGAACGCCAGCTTGGAGTCCGAAAGGAAGCAATTGTTTTAAGTAAACTAGTTGCTGTGTGTCTTTTCTGTTGTGCTCAGCTTACAGTTATAGAGGACCTCAGGATTTCAATTCTTTTGTCCTCGAGCAGCATGAATATACAGGTAAAATATTTCCAAAGTGTCATGGTAAGTAACACATGATTGCATCCATGCCTGTCTAGGTAATGTAGACCAAGCTAGGTTAGCCACACTTTGCAATGAATGAATTTCATAAATTTAATCCATATAACCTAAACTTTTCCCCCAAACCAAAAGTTGATTCTGAACTTTGCTGTGTTGTTCATGGCCTTTGGTTTGGTGGTACTTGGCTATGCTAATGTGTATGACGTGACACGTTGTCACCAGCTGCAAGCTTTATCCATCAGCCACTTAGTTTCTGACCTGCTGTCTATTGTGTAGACTCTTACCAAGCTTACTGCTGAAATGCAGAGTTTGCTGGTCAGTGAATTGAAAGATGCAATGGCAAGCCATCTTCATCTGTCACCATGTGCTTGTATCTGTTTAGTGCCTGCACCATAATGTCCTATGCTGTATTCCAGAGCCAACATGCCATCTCCCAGCAGTATCAAAGGTACTGCCAGCTTTCCGAGAGAGCCCCAGTGGGAGATTAATACGGCAGGATCCAGTGGTTCATTTGTCTCCAAACAAACAAGGGCATGTAAGTTAACTGTAAACTTATAAAAATAATAGACTCTTAGAAATGTATCTTCCTTGCAATGTGAAAATGGTACGTGTCTGCTCTACTCTCCTCTGCATGGTCAAAGAGAAAGCCATCCTGACAGAGGGTAGGCGTTTGCTGTCATGGCCTCACAATTTCTGCTGCCATGGCCCTATGGTTGCTTTGAGATAAATCGTAATTCCTCATTGGTATACCCCTGCCACCCCCATAGGCCTAGCTATAAGATCATCTAAAACAAGCACAAACAATCCTAAAATGTTGGGAACAAAAATGTGCTAGAAATAAATTTATTTCCATATGCAATTACAAGCATGAGATATGGTTGGAGAACCAGTCCAGGGGGCAGACAGACAGCTTCCCATACACCTCCGCACTGCTTCTCTTATCTTCCATGGCGGCACACATTTTACCCTTTTACCATAGTAATAGATGGTTCCTGATCACTTACAGGTGGAATTGGGAATACCAGACTATTCTCCACACTCCTTTTACACTGCACTTGATTCCTTGGCCTGTCGCTTAACTGGAATGTGTATTCATGTCATTCTATTGGATGAGGAAATAGTGTATTTCACGTTCACTAATTTATGGGGATGCCCAGAGAACTTTTAATGAGCAGGCTCATGTAAGTTTTGCACTAGAGAAATGAATATCAAAGTCAGAAAATCAAGAGAGCACATCCTACACTTTACTCTATGGAGAGAGATTTACTGAGGAAATGTGATATTGTCACAGTTCTACTCGTAAATGATAGATTGTCCCAACAGATCTGTGAGTTTCCCCTTTCTCGTTAATACAATTTTTATATTGATTACATGATAAAATAATATTTTGGACAGATTGGGTGAAATAAGATATATTATTAAAATTAATTTCATCAGGTTTTTTTGGTTTTTTTTTTATTTTTTAAATTTTGGCTACTAGAAAATTTGAAATTTTATATGTGGTTCACCTTATGTTTCTGTAGAAACCTGTTACATACTCTACACTCTCAATACGTCTCAATTCAAACCAGCCACATTAAAGTACTGAATAGCCACACGTGGCTGAGTGCTCCCAGATTCGACAGTACAGTCCCAGAGCTAAAGAAGTTCTGCCCTATTACGAATAAATGAAAGCTTAATAACACCACTTTTTAAATTGTTATTGAGAAAAACTAGAGTAACACCAATAAAGTAATTGGGATTAATGTTTTTCCTAAGGGGGAAGAGGTGTTTCACTTGGAGATGAAACTGGCATGTTCTCCTCCAGCCCCTGCCCTTGGCCAGTGGAGAGCATGCTCATTCCTCCCTGGAAAGAGACATACACACACGATTCTTCTCTTAATCTTCAGCTCATTTAAAATATTATTTTACTCAGATATCTTTTAAAATATTATTTCTTTGGTAAACTCTATCAAATGTTCTTTTAAGCATGTAAGCTACTGTGTAGAAAGGGTTCTGTATACATTTTTTAATTGAGATATTGACATCCCATAATATTCACCCCATATAGAGTGTACAATGTAGTGGTTTTTAGCATATTCACAGAGTTGTGCAACCAGCACCACAGTGTAATTGTAGGACATCTTCATCACCACCTCTGACTACTTCCCATCCCCTCCAAGAGACAAACACTAAGCTGCTTTCTCTCTCTGAATGTGTCTATTCTGGACATTTCATATGAATGAAGTTATACAATGTGTGGCCTTTCGTGTCTGGCTTCTTTCACTGAACATAATGTTTTCAAGAGTCATCCGTGTTGTAGCATGAATCAGTACTTCGTTCCTTTTCACGGCTGCATAATAGTCCATTGCGTGGATAATACCGTATTCTTTTAATCCATTTATCAGTTGATGGACATTTGGGTGGTTTTCACTTTTCAGCTATTATGAATACTACTACTATAAACATTCATGTACAAGTTTTTGTGTGAACACATGTTTTCATTTCTCTTGGGTGTATAACAAGAGTGGAACTACAACTGTTTTCCCACAGGGGCCACCCCGTTTTATATTCCCAACAATGCCAACGTTTGTTACTGTCTGCGCTTTTTATTATAATCATCCTAGTGGGTGTACAGTGGTATTTCATTGTGGTTTTGATTTGCATTTCCCTAATGACTAATGATATTGAACATATTTTCATGTGCTTATTGGGAATTTATATATACTCTTTGGAGAAATCTCTCTTCAAGTATTTTACCCATTTGTTAATTGGGTTATTTGAAGCACAGAAGTTTTTGATTTTGATGAAGACCAGTTTATCTGGGTTTTTTTTGTTAGTTTCTCATGCTTTTGGTGTCATATTTAAGAAACCATTGCATAACTTACATAGGTGTAAGTCACAGAGACTTACACTGGTTTTCTCTAAGAGTTTTGTAGTTTTAGCTCTTATATTTAAATCCTTGATCATTTTTGAGTTCATTTTTCTATGTGGTAAGGATCCAACTTCATTCTTTTTTACATGTGGCTATTCAATTTGCCAGCACCATTTGTTAATAAGACTAATTTTTTTTCCCATTGAATTGTTTTGGCACTTCTGTGTAAATTTTACCTCTAAGCATGCCTTAGAAGGCTGTCTCCTAAATAGATGTTAATTAGGGAGGCAAAAGTAGTTCTCTTTAGAAGTTAGTCTTATATTCAGCCTTTTAGTTACTCTGAGCAAGTAGGGCTTTTAGAATCAAGCATGCTTTCTAATTATAAGCTCTTTGGAAATGTCATTTCCTTTCTATTTTTAATGACAATTTGGATTTCTTCCTGATTAAAATTATCTCAATACTATTGATACTTTGGCATAAGTCAAATAAATGAAAAATGGATTTGAAAAAAAAGAATTCCAGCACTCTCTGCCATGGACATTTCTGAATGGGCCAGAGTCACAGAGGTTCCAGGCACTCTGGACTTTGACTTGTCATTATTGGAACTTTTGTGCCTCGAGAACCCTGTAACTAGACACACATCACTGTCACTTCCCATTGTTTGCTGATGTTCAGGAAGCAGAACCTTGCACTCAAGTAAATCCTGCTTCCCTTGCAGTCCGATAGCCACTACTCGAGCCACTCCAGTAGCAATACCCTCTCCAGCAACGCTTCGAGTGCCCACAGTGACGAGAAGTGGTACGACGGGGACCGCACAGAATCCGAACTCAACAGCTATAACTATCTGCAAGGCACCTCTGCTGACAGCGGCATCGACACCACCTCCTACGGCCCCAGCCACGGCAGCACAGCCTCCTTGGGCGCTGCCACGTCGTCACCACGCTCGGGGCCAGGCAAGGAGAAAGTGGCACCTCTGTGGCATAGCTCCAGTGAAGTGATCTCCTTGGCAGATCGGACTTTAGAAACAGAGAGTCATGGTATGGACCGGAAAACAGAGTCCTCCCTGAGCCTGGATCTCCACAGCAAGAGCCAGGTGGGCTCGAACCCTCTGACAAGGGAGAACAGCACTTTCAGTATCAACGATGCTGCTTCCCACACAAGGTAACTGACTGCCCTTCCACGCCGCCTCCCCGGTCCCCCGCCCAGTCCTGAGTCCCGTTTCCCGGTCTCTTCTCACTTCGCTTCGCTCACTAGTGTATAAGGGAAGGAGCTTTGTCATGCAGTGACGTTTGTAGTTATATATCTAATGCCTTTTATTTGCCAGCAAAAATATCTTAGACCTACAATCCTAACGTATTACTTTAAACTGTGAAAAAAATTGCAGATTTATTTTTTGTAAAGTTGGATTTGACCTTTTTTAAGTTTCCTGTGTACCACAATTAGAGAGGAATTGTGTCATTTTCAGCTAGTGACAAAGAAGATATACTGGGACAGCCTTTTGAAGATATCTAAAAAATACTGACCATATTCTTAAAAGAAAAGGAGTCTTTCCTGAGACTAAGCGCATTGTGTCCACGCTGAGCGCATCCTGGACACTGCGTCCCTGCCCGAGGACATCACCTCCCCGATGTCTGCGTGGTGGTTCTTCTTCAGCAGGTGGCTCCTGACGGTGATGTGTTGAGAGGGGGAGGTGTCCAGCAGCAAAGTGCAGCTAAAGTTAGACACAGCTCATCTACCTTTCAGAATAGGAAAGTACACATGCCCTTGTATCCTTGGAGATCACTCCACTAGACAAAATAAAGACTATTTTTCATTTCCTCTTTTGGGTTTGAGCCTAAAACCCCAAGAATGACAAGATTATTCCTCCTCTTAGGGAGGGAACATTCCATTGCTGTCTTCGTAGGCCTGTTAATCTCCGCGGTGGTTTCTCCTCTTTTCATTGTGGTCAGTCACTGATCAGCTTGTGTGGCAGTATCTTACCTTGCTGTCTTCTGGGTCTCTGTTACTATGATGCCCTAAGGAAAAATACTAGAGAGGCTTAATGTAGTTTTATTTTTCAAACTGGAATCTAGGCACATAATCTGTCAGTAAACTCCAGATCACCTTAATGAGAGAGGACATCTACTACTTAATTTGGATTTAACTTGATCAGTTAAATACTCAGTTTTCTCTTTGTGTCTGTATTCTTCTGATAACATTATTGAGCTTTCCTTCTTTTAAAATTTCAGGCCCCGTGGTAGGAAGCATTTTACAAGTTTTGCTTCTGTTTACCACCACCACATTGCAGATGGAAAAATGATTCTGAGAGGTCTTGGAAGCTCCATGGCCCCCAAGCAAAAATGAAATTGGGAAAACAGTCTCAGTATTCTTGAGGACCAGGCATCCTGTTACTGTTCCACAATTCAGAAAATAGAACGTTTGGTTCAAATGGTATAAGAGATGTGTTTGGAAAATTAGGACAGAAGGCTGGGCATCAGATGCTGTAATTATAGAGACACAGAATCACATGACACAGAATTGGGGCACTTGCTGACTGTTTTGGGTACATCCCCTTCTCAATAACTATAGTGCATTGACTTAGAACATTTTTCAGATCGAATGGTTTCTCTGTGGTTTCTAGATTGAGTTTGACCCTTGTTTCTTTGATTTTCAATATTTCATTTTGAAAGGAGGCTACCTTTTTTTAAGAGTGGTCTTTCGTCCGAAGATGTATCTCTGATCTGATTTGATGGCAGAAGAAATTCGGTTCTAGAGTTCTTGTCTCACATGGAGTAAGGGTGGAGAGACCCGGGCCCCTGAACCCAAAGCACAGGACCTGAGGCTGTGCCGTTACCTAACAAATCCCCAGGGATTTGCACAGGGCTGGAGAAGTAAGCACCTGGGTTTGCATTATCCGAATGTGCTGACTGGAGCCGCCTGAAGGCCTCAAAGGATTATCTAAATTTTCTGCTTCAGACTGGCTGTGCAGAATCATTGAAATCATCATTTAGAAATAACTCTCCTATTGAAAGTCAAACTTACTAGGGAAGAGAAGAATGTGGCCTTTCAGGGAAGGTGGCAGGGCTTCCCACCCACGGTTGGGTTGGGTCACATCTGTCTCCGGACTGGTAAATGGGGAAGCTTCGGGACCTCAGTCTGCTGATCTTGGCAGAGGGAGCTGGATAATCAGAGCTTTCACAGCCTTTTCTGGAAGAAGCAGGGATGTAGCCACCAAATACACATTGCTAGAGAAACCGAAATCACAGCAAATTAGAGTGTTTGTGTCTTCAGAAGACAGGAACGGCAATTAATGTGGCGATCTCTTGACAGTGCATAAAAGAGCTTGTACCTGGGACTTGGTGACAAAATCTAAATTACAGTGATTAAGTTTCGCTGCATCTTTCTGGCTGAGCTCTGCTCTTACCCGCTCTGTCCTCCCGTCTCCCTGTCGGTGACTGTGCAGGTTTTCTGTGGCACCCCCATGAGAACTGCATTAATGTAGGCTGGTAATTACATGGGGTGGTTATATTTGAATGTCATTAAGAGGAGCCAAACACACTGATAACTTTCTGCAGCTAAAAAAGGTCTATTAATTGCTCTAGTGTTGCTCCCTGGAATCTATATTTTTTTATGAAGCTTAAAAGTTTAGGGAGAGGTTTAAAAAATTGTGTATTTTTTTTGTAATAGCTATTTCGCTTTCAGATTTTAAAATGAACCACTCAAAACAACGATTTATGGTGAGCATAGTAGAAGTGAAGATAGTTCTAATTTTAATGTTCTTACCAGCTGGATTCATTTTTTTCTGAGAGTCCTGGCCTTGGCAGTGGGCAGTGCCAGTTTGTGCAGCAAACAAGGACCTTCCTCCGTTAGTATGAAGGGCTCTAGTCCCGCTGACCAGTGGTGTTTCCGATGTGGGAGTTTGATTTAAGGCCACACACTAAAGCTAAAAGCCCCGCCTCACCTTTGCACGTGCACATCTCTTCGGTGATTCGGTGACATCCTGACCTGACTTGTTTTGGTGTCCAGACTTCTGTGCCCACCCTTGTCTGCCAGCCATTCTGCCTGTCTCAAATGTTTCCTCTTGCTTCTCTTGGGCCCTCTCTGAGCTCTGTAGCCAATTAGTACCCACCTATGTGATCACTGTACATTGATATTGCCACCCAGTATAAGCAATTTCTCACCCAATATGTTCATCTTAATATCTTTGCATGGTTTGTGCCACCATGAACATCATAGGTAGGTGCTCAGCACATTCTGATGAGCAAATAGGAAGAACTTCTGCTTAAATCTTCCCGCTTTTTTGCCTGATGACTCAAAGCCGCTACTGATAAACCAGTTCAAAAGTCACATAAATCCTCAATTACTAACTCTTCTGGAAAACCACTACTGTGTTTCAAAGGTTATCCTACGGACGTGTCCATATTCGTAGAGAGCTGTAGCGCTTTTATGTTAGGTGTAGGCGTAAGAGTGTACCTAAAGTCCTTGTACAGCATGAATTTTTAGTAAAGTCATTTCTATATAAAAGTCTTTAAAATCTGTCAATAAAGTGTGACAAGGAAGAACTTTGTAACAGCTCGTATGCAAATATCAGTCAGGGTCTGGATATGTGTTGGTCAATGTCTGACATTCACTAGAGGGGCTGATTAAAGACTAAGAAAAATGCCTGCCTGCCCGCAGATGTCAGTACAGTTCAGTCTCATGAATGTGCTTTTTCTGGTTGACCTAATAAGTCAACTGTTCTTGCAGAAAAGCTGTATGTTTCTTGAGAGCAGAGGAAAAAGAAGGGCTTCTTATGTGTAGTTTACATTGAACATATGAAATGCCTCAGGCTGCTCTAGCGTACCGGGCTATCTGTGTGTGCCTCTGTGTATATTAGAGCTAGTATGCTCAAATTTGGTTCCTGTGCCCTCTTTGGCATCCTATATATGTGAAAAATATGCCTTCCTTCTTCATTTGGAAATTATTCAGTTATCTTTATCTGTAACATTTCCTTCTTTAAGTCTTTTCTGCCTGGATTTTTTTATTTTTTAATATACTAATAATTAGTTGCCTCTCTTCTACATTTTTTTCTCAATGTGAGAATATTATTTTTCTAAGTATTATGGACTAATTCAGAATTTGAAAGTTCAACTCTAAAAGAACAAAACCAGAACTTCTCCCCAACAGATGTGATTGGCTCCATTTGCCTTAACCTCGTTGTTGGGTGTGGATCATTTTAATTGGTAATTTTTGTCTTGTGGCCCCGCACACAATGAACATTCAGGATTGTATTAAATTTTGCTTCTGTATGGCAGAACTCCAGGTGGTCTGGCCTCAGCTGTCTTGCTGCATCTCTTCCAGCTTATGCGGGTGGGTGGTTATTTTACCTGGAACTTTAGTTACTTTTAGTAACCTCAAAGACTGAAAAATAGAACCACACTGTAGTTGAAATTTCACGTGAACATTGAGAAAATGTGCCCTCTGTCAAGCCGCAAATGCTTGATGCAGAACTCACCAACAAAACGTTTGTCGTTAACTTTGTTCTACGAGGCAACTAATCCACTCATCCAGTTGATACAATAAGCCCAAATTCTCCAAATGCCATTAAATCATAAGGCCAAAAGGAATTCAGAAAGGGCAGAAAGTCCGTTCTTTGTCATATTTAAAGCATCCTACCAGGATGAGAGTTTATGCAATTGCTTTGTACAAAAAAAAAAAGGAAAAAACCAATCTCAAGAGGAGAGATTCCACAGCCTTTCCAAGCACATAATGAGCACATAACAAGTCCTCTCCCTGTTTATTTTGTCCCATTCCTCTAGCTGCAGCTTAAACACACAATTAAGAGAGAATAAATGTTTTTTTTTTCTGAGCTGAGTCTTTTCTAAACATGAAGAATATTTTTGACATCTAGGATTATGAAACGATGTGGTTAGCTCTACTTGCCTTAACCTAGTTGTTGAATATGGATCATTGACTGTAAGACAGTCATTTGAAAAAAAAAGAAAGAAAGAAAGAAAGAAAATTAATTTTGTTGCAGCCCTCCACCTCCAGGCAAGTTGAGAGAGGAACAGGGAAAATAGATTCAGAGCCTGAGATCCAGGATCAAGTCTCGGTTCTGCCATAGTACCATGGACCAGCTATGTGGCCCTTGGCCACGCTCACCATTTCACCCAGCTGTCCCTCATCTGCAATCTAGGAGATGG